GAGCGTGCTGCAGACGCCGAAGAATATGAAGGTGAAGATACAGAGCTTGATAAGATGATATAACGTCTATAATGCATTCCTCGAAGTAGACGCCGTGCAGATGCGTAATGATACGTGATAGCCCCGGCGCTAGTGGTTGTCTGTGCCCGCGTAGATGCCCGGTTGCACATGGAACAATAGGTTCACAACTGACGGGTAGCCGTCATAATGCGAAACCGCGAAACCCCAGGGTGACACTATGCGGGATGTTATCACAAGCGCGAATCGTGGTAATGGACCGTTTGACCATGCGTTTTCGCAATGTGACGCTGCACAAACAAGTATAATCACAGAAGTTGATTGTATGGTTGGACAATACGTATCCGCTGTGTGGCACTGCGCAGCAACGTGTACAACTTATCGTCACACCCGTGGATTGCATGGCTTGACAATGCGTCCCCGCTGCGCGGCACTGTGCAGCAGAGCATACAGGACTGTCTTGCTTGACAATGCCTTTCCGCAGCGTGACGCGGCACAAGCAAGCATGCCAGATGTTGTCACAATGGTGGACTGTATGGTTTGACAATGCCTTTTCGCGGTGCAGTGTGACGCTGCAATGCGCTGCGCAAACAAGCATGCAAGATACTATCACAGTGGATTGCATGGCTTGACAATGCGTTTCCGCAGCGTGACGCTGCACAAACAAGCGTGAAGGATGCTATGACAGTAGCACGTTGTCGGGATGACAATGCTGTTCCACACGGTGACATGAGGTGACGCTGCACGAACAAGCATGCAGGATGTTGGCACAATAATGGAATGTACTGTTTGGACAATGCGGTTTCGCAGTGTGACGCTGCCCACCCTGGCATTCTAGATGATATCACAGTGGTGGATTGTAGGCATTTCCACGAGGTGACGCTGCACCAACAAACATGCCGGATGTTGTCACAGCAGTGGATTGGTCGCCAACACGTTTCCGCAAAGTGGTGACGCTGCACCCACAAGCATGCAACATGTCATCACAGTGGTGGATTGCATGGGTTGCCAATGATTTCCGCAATGTGATGCGGGATTGCAACAACTGCTGCCGGCGCGCAGCGACGTAGGGCCGCAGCCCCGTAGCAGGGTATGTGAATCCCCTGGTCGGAACGTTTATACTGACGTCACCGTCCTCCACGCCAGAATCCAAGGCTGCAGCTCAAGTGCGAGAAGGGATGCGCGCAAAAGGCTGCGGCTGAGATTCGCCGAAACGAGGCCGAAGCGAGTCGTCGCTGAGAACAGGCTGGTCGCCGTCCGCATTTGCAGAGAGGGGATGTCCAAGGAAGTTCGCATACGCGAAACACCGCCACAGGCGAGGCACTGGACGGGCGCGGTAGCGGGCGAGGCGGCGGACGAAATGGGCAGCTTCGTGACTACCTCCACCAGGCACCTATGCCAGCGCAGCCGCCGGTGCGCAGCTCCACTGGCATCAACGGAAAACATTGGGGTTGTCGGCAGCGAGCTGCGCATTGCCCCAGAGCGGGAACCCATTCGCTGAGGTCGCACACCGGAACATTGCACGCAACAACTGCCCTCTCGAGCCGAAGTCCACGATAACGCAACAGGCCAGAGCGGTGGCAGGGCGTCTTGTGGTAATGGAACGGCGGCACCGACAGCCTGCGTTGAACACCAAGGACAGGCGAAGCCGGCCGAGCAACAAGGCCAGAAGACAGGTGAGTCAAGGCGACTTCATGGCAACAGGGCAGAGCAATGAGAAAGAACCCTCGAGGCAAACGGCCCACATTACGTTTCCGGCAGGTCGAGGAAAGTGGGTCAAGCACGGTGGTGGCCGGCCAAGCAGTTGTCGACATCACGCGAGGCGGGTGAGAAAGGATGCTGCGTCATTAAGCCGGCGGGCGATGTCGACAAGACTCAGGCTCGCTGGAACGAAGTGCCCCAAGCACGAATGCCCAGGATGCGAAGTGCAGGCAGGAGCAACTGAAAACAGTAGTGCACCCGAGGAGACGCACAGCACAACAGCAGCAGCCAAGCTGCTCCACCCGGTGGCGCCGCCTCGCTAGGGCCGCAAGGGCAAGCGGCTGTGGCCCGTAGGTGTGGCGTGGTGGATGATGCCGGCGAGCGGCGGGCCTTCGACCGTTGACCGCGTGCTGTCGCCCAACGCGTGAACACTGCCGTGCAAACGGCGCGCGGGGCGCGGTAAGCTTTCAGACGCACCAGCTCTCGCACAAACTTTTACCACTGACCACTAGGCCGAACCCAACAGCAGAATTATTTTAATTCATTTCGCTGGCACAGCAACCTGGCGGCGCCAGATCACCTTCCAATTTTTGTCGCACCCCCTATTTCCGACTGTCCAATCACGAGGCGGTCCCAGTGCAGCAGCGCCCAACCCCAGGCCCTAACGGCGGACATCAGGCACTCGCCACGCAGGCAGAGCGTCCGCTAAACGGCTAATGTGTGCTGGGAAACAACCTTTGCTCACCATTGAAAAAATGCCCGCGCATAAAAGTCACTGATTCATGCCAGCTGTAGTTTTGCAGGGCACAGGCCAGAAGAATACACCAACGTGGAAGATTCAGCTTCATTTTGCGGACTAGTTCCTATCATGCATTGCCACGCCTGGACAGGTTCGTACTACCATGAAACATGCCGCACGAATAGTATGGTACGAACTTCACATGAGCAGTTGCCACGCTACGAGTCATAGGACGTACTTCAAACAAGAACGGCCGCCTCAGCGTCAGAATGTGCTATGGCTCGTATCACAGCCCGTAACGTCAAAAAAAACGTGTCAGGCTGGTATCGTGTATCATGGTGGGTATTTCGTAACATATAGCAAGAACAACTTGTCATGCGGGAATCCACAACAAAGACGGAGTGGGGCAACGACATGGCATCTTCCGCTTCACCAAAGGATCGCGGTCACCACAGAGTGACTTCATTTGTTGGCATGTCCTGCGCGTTGATGGAACTGGCTGACCGGCACGGCAAAAATCTGCATGGCTTGAAAATACATATTGTTTGACTTATTGTGGAAACAATTTCACAGTTCTGTTTTTGTCGGCTTGCCTTGTGTATGTTTTTCGAGGCTGTTTCTCGTTGGAAGGCTACGTCACGCATGCGGCATGTGAAAGGGCTCAGGTGGCCTTTCCCAAGGGCCAATCGAGCTGGAGATGTCGTCTTTCGGTTTACAAAATGCCGCATTCTGCGGTTGCTCCGCCACCATAACATTGCAATGTGTGCAGGCAGCCGTGTGCCGAGTCCATTATAACCCATACTGGCGGTTCAGCCCAGAAACCTAAACCGGAGAATCGGAGAACTCACTTGACTCAGGGTTCACGGTTGAACAGTTGAACAGCCACCCTTGGAAAAATGCGCTTGCGCTTGTTGTACTTGCTATCGCCCAGCACTTCGCGAACCTAAGCCGGCCATGTCACCAGTCTGATCCGGCACCTTTCCGCTGAGCGCATGTGAAGGCGACGGCCGTGATTGTGGTGCCGTGCGACTGTCGGACTTTCACTCGGATCTGTTCTGACGCGTCGTCGGACTAGCGTAGCGGCGTCAGATCCGGCGCTTTTTATTTGAGGCCAGCGGAAGCAGTTCCATCATCCAACCACTAAGGAGGGAAATTAAGATGCCAAACTTATCGCTCAGGATCGTCAGTCAACATGACAGCAGTCGCAGCAAATGAGAACTCCTGCGCAACACGCAACAAAGACCGAGCTAGGGGCCTGAGCGGGGGAGCCCACGACCAGGGAAAAGGGAGGCACCTGCATGCCTTCCAAGACCAGCGCCCCAGCCCCCACGACGCTGCCCCGGCCAATCACAGCCTTGTTTAGGATGATGGCTCCCATACCGACGAGGACCTCGTCCTCCACGGTGCAACCGTGCAGCACGCAGGCATGGCCAATGGAGACATTCCTGCCGATGGTGCAGGGGAGCCCCTCGTCCAGGTGCACCATGGTCAAATCCTGGATGTTGGTCCCATCCCCCACCTCGCACAGAGAGCAAGGCGCATCAAACGCGTGCACGTGGGCTCCTCCGGGTCCCTCTGGCATATCTACTTGTAGGAAAAAACCTCAACCCTGCTTCGGGCGGGACTCTGAGAGAAGAAACGGAAAACAGTGAACCGGTAAACATGAGCTCCTTGCAGTAAAATCTTCGAACAGTCCCCACCTCGATGTGCGCGTCGTCCCCTCGCAGGACACAGTTGAACCACACGCCAACATCCTCAAGGCTTCGGGTCCAGAACAGTTACTGCTGGTGAAAAAGACAAATTGAAAGGGCTCGGAAAACTTAGTAAGTAGCTGCTACGCAAGGCTTTAGGTCTCCACATGGCATTACAATTGGCGCAAGGTGAAGTCAACTCTGTGCCTCGCCTACATGGCATCAGGATGATGATGCTCCAGCTCTCTCGCTCAATACCCGGGGAGCCTAGGATTTCGGATCAGGCTTTCACGGGAATTTCCGTGGGGCATCTCAACGATTCGAGTTCTAGACGTGATCCGGGACCCGCATGCAAGACTTTGATGACTTCAGTCAGAGGTGGCGAAATTAGAATGCGGTTGTCGAGTGTATGTTGTAGTATACTTACCAGAGGGTGCACCCTCCACCCCTGCGACCCCCCTCATCCCCATAGCCCCCCCCCTCATCCCTATGAACCCTTTAACACGGTCCTTCCCCAGCCGCACATCTCCCACCACCTGCGCTCCCGGCGCCACCCAGGCGCCCTGCGCCAGCGCGGCAGGGCGGCTCCGAGCGCGTACACCGGCATGGCGGGATCCGGAAGTTCAGGATTTGAAGGGTTGAAGGGTTTTAGGGGTTCAGGGGTTCAAGGGTTGAAGGGTTTTAGGGGTTACAGGGTTTAGGGGTTGGGCTCAGGAAGGGGCCCTGAACAGTTCCTGCTCCTTCGGAGGAACCGGCGGAATCCGGAACCCTCGTCCGGAAGGGGTTTTGGGGTTTTTGGGTTCGGGGCTCCGGAGCTTGGTTTTTTTTTTGTTGGGCTTCTGGCGTTGAGCCTCCAAAAGCGTTTTGACAGCAGAGGGGAGCAGCCAAGCAAGCCCTGTTAAGAATTCGCTGTACATAAAGCTGGGATTTGATCCTTAAAGGGTTTCCGCTTGCGAAGTTTATGTTTCATAAAAACTACCCCCTCCGAAACAAGGGAGTCGGAGAGGATAGGGATCCCTGAACAGTAAGCCCCTTGCGCTCAGGCTCTTTTGGGCCTTGGGGCTTCTTCTTGAGCTCTGAGGCCTTCGTGGCGGGGCTTCTTCAACCGACTTCCGTCTGGCCTGCTGGTGGAACCTAGGCTTAGGAGCTTATCGCTTGGAGCAGGCTTCCCCGTGTGTTTAGGGTTTAGGGTTTAGGGTTTAGGGTTTAGGGTTTAGGGTTTAGGGATTAAGGTTTAGGGTTTAGGGTTTAGGGTTTAGCATCCTGCTTGGGGACTTTTTAGTACTATACCTTATGGATCGGGGATCGTAGATATTAGTTTCGCTCCCTCGGGTCCCGGGACATCAACGAAGATGCCTCGAAAAGAGCCCCGACCCAAACCAACTCTCATCGAAGATCCAACCCTTGATGTCGGACAGGTTTAGAGCTTAGGGTTTAGGGTTTAGGGTTTAGGGTTCTCAACCTCAGACACAAAGCCTTTCTCGCCGCATCCGAACATGCACGATAAGTTGCGGCCGGTGGCGGCAGATGTCCTAAACCAGGGCCGGCACCCCGAAGCCCAAAAGACTCATACATCCAGAAAGGGAGTTAAGGTTTCAAGGTAGAGGGAAGCGTGATGCCAACCAAAAACCCAAGGATGTTCGGGAACTCATGGCAAAAGTATAAAGGCCAGACTGCAAAGCTTTGGCCTGACACCCCCTCGCAACCTTAAACCTCCAAGCGGAAGCAGCACAAAGACTGATTCATATAGTCGGGCCTGAAGCAAGAGCCTGTGGCTTCGGCCCAACCCCATAACCCTAAAACCCAAGCAGGATTCAACGGGGCTGATACGACTTAGGGCGAAGGATCGGTAGCTCATGTAAAGATTGTGATAATGCCTGGGGTTGAGGGTTTTGAAATCCTGAGCGAGCCTCAAAATGCTCTGTCCACATGTGAGTTGCAAGGTTTCGAGCCTCAGCAAGGGCAACGATATAGAGCTTGCCGGCCCTGTCGCATTAACCCGCGGCACAAGCCCGCGGCCTTAAAGTCCAGACAGGACTGTCGTAGTGATGCGCGTTTCCAACACTCAGGGACCCTTCCCGACATTGCTGCAGTTGCAATCCGATCATCTCTGCCCCTGTCGGGTTACGTATGTGTGTATGCATATCTATATATATATATACATACACATATACATATACATATACATATACATATACATAAACATATACATGTACATGTACAT